TTCAAAATAAAAGAATCATTCATCAATAATTAATCAGTAAAAGATTGAAAGATTCAGCTATCATTCATTGTAACTGCATGGAAAATATTAAGTAGCACAATCTTCAGAATTTCTCTTTTTGTCTTCAAAGTAATAAAGCAAGCAGGTTTGAGCAACATAGAGATAAATAATGAATTCATTTTTTTTTTTTTTTAACATTTAATATTAGACGACTCTCTACTCAGCAAGACTTTATTGAGGTAGAGTGTAAGACATTTCAAGAGAGTACGGAGCACTGCATCGTGTTCAGAATAAACTGGAGTCCTGACCACAGCCGTGCTTTCATTTACAACCTCAAATCATCACTCTGAAAAAACATGTTGCCAAAATGCCTTAGCGGGAGAGACTTTGGAGGGCACCTATTTGGGAGCAATGTCTGTCATGGGTCAGAGCTGAGCGGTACAGATATCCCTCTCTTTTTAATTGATACCAGTGGGCTGTCACAGCCTCCAAATGAGAAGTCATGAAAGATGAGTGTGCAGTCGACCATGCAGCTATCTGAAAAAAGGCATGTGTGTTTGTATTGATGCCTCGTTCCCTGTGTTTCTCTGCTCTTGCTTCTGTGTTCTCTGTTGTGGATCAAACAACCGGGCTGTTTGGTGAGCTGGACATGCTGAGAAATGTTCCACCAGTCATGAGTTATGACATGCGTATAAGACAAGCAATGTGAGTCAATATCGCACAATATCTAAACATTGACCGCCATGTCACTTTTTCATCATACCTGTGTCATAAAAGATCAATGCATAACAATAACATACAGAGGATTAACAGTGGAATTCAAAATTAAACCCCAACTGTAATTTTGTTTGACATTGTGGTTGTCATATTGCCTAATTGTTGAATGAATAAAATCATGAATTATCATTGAATAATAAACATACATGTTGATTTTATTTTTTATTATTATTTATTTTAAAAAAAGGCCTTCACATGGTGCACCATGCCAGAAGTTTTATTTTTATTTTTATTTTTAATGACCAGCAGGATGTAATTTGATGAAGAAACACATTTAAATGGTTTATTCAAAGTAATCTGTTCATTATACACCACTTTATTGCCATTTTATGAGCATCCAGGGCCTGCAAAGTGAAGAAAATGAGTTTGCTACCCTGAGGGAACATCATGCAGTAGAGGGTTAAAACTGAAGGCTGATATGAACAGCAAGTTGTGCTTAACTTATGTAGTTTGATGGAGGCATGAATAGGTACACAGCTCTTTGGAAATTAATTTCATTTACTTCCTTGGCCAGGCAGCCAATGTCTGACAAACTAATGATTACATTATTTTGGTACTTTCAGTATATTTCATAAAATTTAGCCTGAAAGATTGATTAGATTTTTTTATCTAAGATTAATTGAATTGAAACCATTGAAACCATTTATGAAATGGTTGATATTGCATGACATTTTAAGGCTTATAATTTTTGTCAATGCTACTTTTTTGGAATTAAATTCCAAATTCATTTGCTAAAAATTAAAACTAACCAAATAAATAAATATATGGGTCAAGCACAGTTTAATTAAAAGTTTCCCACAACAGTTTGATCGTGATTGATAATTATGACATTAATGATTGATGACTAGTCACTAAAAGTTTCCCCAACTGTTTGGTTATGATTAATGATGAGCCATGATTGACAGGTCGTTCAGGAGTTTCATTATTAAATATATTTTGAAAGCCAGAAATAATGATTTTCTTGGAAATCAGGGCATTGCAAACAAATTAGGAGACAGAAATTTATGGGTTCATAAATAAATAAAGCAAAACTTAAAATATATGGTGCAATTACTCCTCTTCTAATGAGATTCGCTTTGATTTGGGACTTCATTCACCTCATTTAAACTCAACCCATTCCGAATACAATTTTAAAATCAACATCAACTGCATTTGGAAACAATGTTTTCCAAAAATATTCATTTAGATTAAGCTTTAGATGCCAATTGGAAACATAATTTGGAAGAAAACACATCACAACAGATACTGGAATAGCTCATCTGTGTGAGAGTGCCCAAGTAAGACACTGTGCGCTGTCTAGAGAATACAATGAAAGACACGTCATGCTGAATAAGCAGTGAGGTGCCCTTGATTTACTCAAGGCCTATAGGGGAACCAGATGGATCTGTGTCACCTGCCCAGCTTTGAAGTTCACAAGCCCCAGCAGGATATCCACCAAATGAGGGATCAAATTCTGTTTGATGCCATTTTTCCCTCTGTATTGGAAGATAAAATAACGTGAGAAGATTTGTCTTTATTGCACATAGCCAGTGTCTCATCCTCAAGTCTGGATAATGAAATCTGAGGTTAGGGCTGCATTTCATAACAATGTTTGCTTGGATGTTTGGGTCGCTGGCTCAGCTTGGAGGCAACAACCTGAAGTTACTTGCCTATTAAAGACATTCAATATTTATGTAAGCCACCACAAATTGTGCAAGTATTAAATATATCTTTCATCCTTGTTTATATATTAACAAACCTTAAAATAATATCCTTTATACTCACCCTCAAGTCATTCTAAACTCGTATGTTTGTATAATTTTTTCCATAAGAAGAATTATTGAGTTTTCACAGAGCTATATTCTATACAACAACAGTTTCTACGCCAATTTGTTCAGTGTATGATTTTCTTTGAAACAATTTTCACTCTGAAATCACTCGTAATTTTTTTTCAAAAAGACAAAGAAATGGCACTTAACACATTGAATTAACCCTGAAATTTTGAAGAAAGACTGAAATAGCATTTTCTTGTAAAACATACTCTGATAAAAAAGCACCCTAGAACTATTCCATACGACCATAGAAGACATTCCAAGTCTTCTCAATCTACTTGATAACTTTGCAAAGAAAAGTTTATATTTAATAATAGTAGCCCCCTTTTAAAAAATTATTCTTAATAATTCTTATGTGTTTCATGGAAAATTGTATGCGAGATGTGTGCGGTGGGTAAGTAAAAACAGAATTTTCATTTTTGGTGAATTATTCTTTTGATGTTTACAGCTGTAAAATATCAGTTTATGCTCACCCCAGCTAAATCTTCACTATGAGAGTCCAGTGCACATAATTAAATGTAAAACAAACAAAAAAAGCGCTATTATTTACCAGACATTTCTCAAAGACCTTTTGCTCCATCTCTCATCAGTTTCTCATCTATCTTATACTGATTCTTAGAAACTGCACTGGGCTTTGACACAGGGTCAAAGAAAAATCTCCAACCCTGAGCCACAACAGAATCCAGCCTTCAAATACCACAGGTTTTATTGATTGACATTGTTAAGTGTTTGGTTCACTCTGCAAAATGATATGGATGTATTCTTGATTATCCTTTAAGTATTTCTATTGCAAAGACTATAGGATCATTGCTTGGTTTAATTATAACAGTAAATAGAGTTTAATTTGGTGATGTAAAATAACAGCTTAAACAAGCTGCAGTGTTTTAGTACCTCAGTCCGGACAAGACCAGATTTTGACTCAGGTCCGAGACTAAGACCATATCTTCAGGAGCATTTGGACCTGGCCTGGACTTGGACTTAAATGAACTGGTCCGAAATCATAGAAAATATGGTCTTGAAATATGACTCGAGATGGACTTGAGTCAGAGTCCAGTTTAGTCAACACTTCAGTCTGGTTTAAGTTTATTTAGCTGGTCTCCTAGCTTTACAAGGTGGCCCCAAACCCTCCAAAACCATAAAACCAGTCTGGACAGCAGAACTCAACCAGCTAAAACCAGCAAGCCACCTTAGGCAGGATTTGTATTATTTATTTTTTACCAGTAGTGTATAGCATTGAAGGACAAAGGTTGTGCGAAGTTCACAAGAGGAACAGTAACTGTGTTATGGTGGCATTCAGCAGTAGGGTGTGCTGTTTTGTAGCTGAATTCCAAATGACCTGGAATGGTAGGGTTATCTGAGATTCACTGGTTTCCTAGTCAGTTTAAATTACGGAAGACTGGGGCTAATTGTCACACATGGACGTTCACAAGGGCTATATGTCAGTACCTATAAGGTTCTGAGACAAAAGTCTAATTACGTAAATGCATATTTTCTCTAGCTGTATCTTTATGAATGTTTATTTTAAATACCTAGTTCAAAATCATCACAGCACATTAGAATTAGAGAATTCTGTCTTCCAAACTAAAAATTCCAATTATCATCATATTTTAATTGTTGTTGCATAATCAAACGAACACAAAATAGCAACTTACGGTAAGGTTTTCATTTATTGAGGCAAGTTGTCATGTTGTTTACAACGTTATTTTTAATGCCACAATATTGCTTATATATACGTATTTTTGCTGTTTCACCAACTGTTTTGTTATAGTGTGACAACGTGTCCAATTGGGTTGATTGATGCGTGTTCAATGAACTGTATCTTTTATTGGTGGACATGTTTAATTGCTTTTTTGTATCAGAGACTTTAAAGCTTGTGCCTTTAATTGACTTTCAAAAATAAATCTGCCCTGAGAAATATTCACAGGAGTAAAACGTGTGAAAACTAGCACTCATCTCCCCTAAGTCGAGCTGTGAACAAACTGCAAGTGCTACAGGGGAATGCTTTTGTGGAACAAATGAATCTTCTTACATATTAGGTAATGTTTATCCTGAGCTGCCCTTGTCATATCTCAGCATTGCACATATAGGCCTATAGTATGAGCTTTATTCAAATGTACGGGGAATTAAAGCAGAGCCATTTCATGCTACTACATTTCTAATATTGCAAGACTGCAAATAAGGGTCCAGTTTATGACCGATATCCTATTTCTAACGCACAAACCAGAAAATAGCAAACGGCACTGCATGCAAGAGAGGGTAGGCATTAGACAAGTGGTGCAAATCACTATCACATAAAAATCTTCCCTTAGAGGCACTTTGCTCATTGAATTTGGGGCGTGCTTGCAAAGACACTCTCAGCTGGAGGGGCATCAGCATGTAAGGTACCACAACTGCGCATTTCATCCGCTGAGCGCCTGCTGGAGGAGGAGATACGCATCATATATACCTAACCAACAGTCTTTCTGGATCACTCTGCTGGTAGGAACCGATCACGGGGCACGTGCGTGCAGTCGATACGCCGGAGCGCTGTGAGTCGTGGACTAACTGCGGGGCGCTTGCGGGAATACGAGGAGCATCTCTGCACGAGAGGGAATAAATCTAGTTTTCCTGTCCGTCTCCACACAGACTTTGATTTAGAGGGCATTTATTTGGTGCTAAAAGTGAGAGAACGATATCAGGAAAGATGTTACCGACGACATTAGGGGGTTAGAGGTGCTGAGGTTCATCCCATCACTGAATATGGAGTAAATTCCCACGTCTTCTCTAATTTTGACTCGGAATACAGTGAACGGGAGCGCGTCACGGTGAGTTATTCATTAACCATGCGCTACTGGATTATTTAAAGTTAAGCAGTAGTCTAAGCGCAAGTTTTATTCGAGATGCCAAATAATGTAATGTGAATGTGTATACATTATGGACATCGTTATAAATATGCCTTATGTTAAATATGAAAAGCAAGCGCTGCTTTTACACTTGAAATCCTGACCACAACCCCAATTATAATTCAACGTATTGATAGGGATGGGAATTTAATAATTACTTCAAACCCGGTTCCACTTGCGATCTTTTAGTACTTTTAAGAAAGGAATAGCCTATATGGGGAAGAAAGGAATAGCCTATATGGGGAGAAAAGAAATGTAATTCTTAAAGCATTAGGCTACTCTGCAGTCTGTCGGCTCTGTGGGATAATTTGAGATTTCAAAGGACAGATAGTCTGATAACAAATAACATGTTTAAACAGGCTTAGACTTTTCACGTAGACTTTTCAGTGTCAAATATCAAACAAAAATGTGGTGATTTAATTAATTCAGTCATATAAATGAATATCTAACACTAACTAGAGCAGAACTCTGTATCTTTCATGGGTATTAACAAAACCTGTCTCACGTAGGAGATTTAAATGTAACAACAGTTCGTTTCATGTAAACAAAACAAAATGAATAACTTAAGTTTTTGTAAGCAAATTCATATAACACCACGACGAATCCATAAGATTCACCAAAAAATATTCAGATCTTAAGAGTCATTGGTTCGAGAATTGGACCCTGTCGTGCTCGTTGAATCGTATCACAAAAAAATGAATTTCTGGAATCGGACTACACTCAGCTCTGGATGTTTTGGATTCACTAAAAAGAACAGGATCACAAGAGAGTCATTTTTTTTCGAGAGTCATACTACGCTAAGCTTTTTTATTCACTCAACATGAATCATAATTTTTCGAGAATCAGACTAAACTGGTCGCGATGTAGAGTAGCGGTGAAATAGGCCTAGTAGCGTTCTACTCTGGGAAAATCTGCGCCCCAAATCTCGTACTTTCAAAGTGCAGTGTGTACTGAATTAATTGGAGGACTTACTTCTGGATTGATGATGGGCGTTATTCAGGTATGCAGGTGTGTAGTAGCAATATATTTCCGGACATAGTAGGCTACATCCGCCATGTTGGCATGACCTTTGAACCATATGTTCATTGATCAATGATATTCTATCAACAACAGTGTTAACAATTTAATCAGCTGTTGTTAACCGAATACAGTTTAACCACAAGTAACAACTTTCTTTTGGACATAGCATGACTTAAGAAAAAACACATTTTGTGGCCATTTTATATTTTTCAACTTTAAATTATATTATGTAAACTCTGACCCATATGCTATTGTAGTAGTAGCAGCAGCAGCAGCAACACGTGTGATTTATTATGTGAACTGCACTGATCTCAGTCATGTAGGGCAGAAGATCATGGGGCACAAACATCACTCTTATCTTGCAGATAACCTTGTATTTCCTCAGACTCAAGATATGATGAATAAGGGATAAAAACTGGCAGGTGCTACCTATAGGTCTTCAGCATCTCCATTTGTTCTGATTCAAGTCATCCGTAGCAAAATTCTCTAATAATGCATCACTCACAGTATGGAAGATGCATATGGAATCCCGTGGAGAGAAAATTCAGGGAATTGTGCTTTGCAGGCCTGGAAAAGTGATTTTTCTGGTTTTGCTCTGTTCTAAATATTTAAACGGATAGATATTGCTCTTTTGTAAATGGTTGTGTAGAATATAACTTGTCAGTTTGAAACATCAGTCAGTTGAGGGTTTTCTTGGAGCCATCTGAACGCTAAAAAGAATAATTGTTTAATCTAATTCCACAAAGTAATCAGGAATGACTGGAAAAAGAATGGAAATTAATTTGTTGAAACATTTGAGAACACTACAGTTGTCAGTAAGAGAGTAAAACCACATTGTCATGTAATACTTTTATGAGCCGACCTGGGTTAGTTTCTTTTGAAGTAAACCCTCAAACAAGTGTTATGTGGATCAATAAACTATCAGCCTCTCCATAGATCAGCCAACACTGCCTCTATGGCCTGGTTTATAATCTCACAAAGGTGTGACTAAGCTTTGGGAACTTTAGTGCCATTATGTATTGCAGGAGTGAGACAGAGAGAGGAAGGACTCACAGGAATAAATACACATTCGGCTCTCTATCCGCTCCACATCTGCTATTCAAATAGGAATGGGATCCTTCTCTCGTGTGATCATGTTTATTTATGGATGCATCTGGGATGCATGGCTCATCTCATTTTGTTGCTAACAAGCACAGCCAAATTAGAGGTGAGAACACTGGGAAAAAGCAGTGTGCAGAATTCAGTCGAACCACTCCACAGCACAGCTTGGCTTCCTCCGAGACTATTTATTCCTCTCATTGTGGCGTATAAAGTTTATTTAAAGAGAGACTAAAGATAAATTTGAACATGCGGGAGGAATTCATTAGAGATGAAAGTAATGTTAGTTTATATAACAGTGAGTTTTTTTTCCCAAATTATGCCTTTCTTAATATCCATCTCTCAAATTTGCTTTCTGCAGTCCGGATCACAAACTTTTTTCTCTCGTTATCTAAGTGCATTTTCTCTATCTTTTTTTTTAAATCTCTGGCTGAGGCCTAAAGGAATACTTCACCCCAAGATGAAAGCTGTCATTGTGTTGTTCTAAACCCGTATGACTTTCTTACTTCTTTGGAACTAAAACAAATGAATTTTGTAGAACTTACTTGTGGTCCATGTGATGCTATATTCCAAGTCTGCTGAAGTCAAGTCAATTAAGTAATTTTTTCACTAATAATCTTCTCCTCCACTGCAATCAGTCACTGTCTCTAAAGAAATCTGTCAGACTGATTTTGTGAACCAGATCAAACTATTTCTTGAAGATCTTTTAAAGGGATAGTTCACCCACAAATGACAATTCTATCATTAATTACTCACCCTCATGTCGTTTCAAACCCGTAAGACCTTCGTTCATCTTCGGAACACAAATTAAGATATTTTTGATGGAATCTGAGAGCTGTCTGACCCTGCATAGACAGCAACGCAACTGAAATTTTCCCAAGGCCAGAAACGTAGCAAGGAGATCGGTAAAATAATCCATGTGACATCAGTGGTTCAACCTCAATTATACGAAGCTACGAGAATACTTTTTGTGCGCAAAAGAAAAAAGAAAAAAAACTTTATTCAACAATTTGTCTTCTCCGTGTCACCCTGGTGCCATTTTGGAGGACATTCGGCGTGACGCAGCTGACACAGAACAGCATACGCTGTTTACGTCCAGCGGATACAGCTCTCAGATTCCATCAAAAATATCTTAATTTGTGTTCCGAAGATGAATGAAGGTCTTACGGGTTTGAAACGACATGAGGGTGAGTTATTAATGACAGAATTTTCATTTTTGGGGGAACTAACCCTTTAAAGCTACTTTGAAACGTGTAATATAGCACAAATGTTATTTGGACCACTTTTTTTTTTTTAGGAATGCACAATTTATCTTTACCTATACCATAAGATATATATCATATATGAAAAAATAGATATACAATATATATAATACTGGCAATACCAATATTGGTATTGCCAGTATTATATATATTGTATATCTATTTTTTTTCATACTGTACATTATAAGGTTGTACATAATGACTAAATGTGCACGATTGTAATTTTTTATGTACTTCAATAAAACAGTGAAGAATTTGAATGTCAGCTCTTTATTGGTTATCATCCATAAAATGAAAATAATAACAAAAATGTGAATTTTAATATTGGTCCATCTCAACTTTTATAATGCTTTAGCATCCTTTTAGAAGCTTCAAAGTTTGAGTCTCCATTCATTGTTGTGTGGAAAAGAACGACTATAGCATTTTTCAATTTTTTTGAAAAAAGAAAGTAAGAAGAAATTTCCAGGTTTGGAACGACACAAGGCTGAGCAAATGATGACAATTTTCTTTCCTGGGTGAACTTTCCCTTTAAGGCAGAAGTGTGTTTTTTTTGGGGGGGGGTATCTGCCACTGTGATTATTGGGTTGTGGGACGGATCGCTGGTTGCCATCTTACTGTTAAGTGCACTTTCTCTTGCTGCCCCATGACACTTCTATAGAACGCACCTTTCAATTTTATAGTCACCAAAAGAGGAAATCTGTTTCTATGTTGGTCTACGAATCTAAATGCTGTGCTGGACAAGCACGGCTGAATTGTGTATACCGTTGTTCAAGGATTCTGCTTTAGTTGTGCTCACCTCTGTATTCATTCATTGTTGGTCATTTGCATTCAAGCTAGAACATTTTATTTGTTATATTTGATTTGATTTGATTTTGTTTTGTGTTGTTATTTTATTTAATGGAAACTGTTTTTAATAGTTTTAGTTCACAATAACAACAGTGGTTGCAGCAGGCACCATCACAGTACTCTTTCCTCCAATGAATTGTTAAGGTTTGATGGTCAGGCATGGAACATGATTTATTCTCACTGTCTAAAACACAATATATATTCAACTTCACCATATTGTTACAAGAACTGATGATTTATAGCAGGAGTATGAATCTAGGTCCCACACCAAATGTTTAATGTCAGTCGAAGTATCACCAAGCAGCTGATCTACAGTAATTATAGTCTAAAAGTACACGTAATGCTCAGGTTCAGGGATTTAGTGTAAAAAGTAATTTAGCTGACACTTCTTTCCGAAGAGGTATACTTATTAAAGGGACGATCCCCATGGAATAACCTGGGATTAAGTGGTTTGCTCAAAAGCATGACGGGGATGGTTTCAGGGGCCGTTCCCTTCAGAACTTCAGTTTGTCAAGAGATGAGTTTGCCAAGTAGGATGCCTTCATCAATCAACAATAGTTTTTAGTCAGAATTTCTGTCAAAAAACATTGTTTTCATGACCCTATTTTTAGGTTGCTACCTACCTAAGAACCACTAGCCTAAACCTAACCCTAAAATCTGATGGATAAAAAAAAAAAAAGATCTGGTTTATAAAATATTATTCCAGAATAGGATTTTGATCCAGAAACACATCTGTCTTAACAAAATTACCTGATAATGTTAGAATCAAATTGATATGTGGGATTTATTTCAACCATAAAAATCAATATATATTGTGGAATCTATTTTAGCTTCAAGTGGGAGATTTACTAATTGGCTCAATATGTAGCATTTCTCATCTACCAGTGGGTTGCTGGCAGATCATGCACCATAATCATAAGAGCTACAGTGCTTGGCATGTTCATCAGCGCTTCCCATACTGCTGATCATCTCTATAATACGATGTATTATCCGTTTGTAATCACATGTAGACCGTTGAGCATGCTGGTCTAGTCCTCAGATCTTGACACAAATTAAATCAGCCTGAATTGCAAAACAGACACCTTTAACCACATATATTCCTAAATGTTCATGCTAATCAAGTAGTGATCTCATTTACTGGTGCAATAGAATCATGCAATGGCTTTTATCGCATAGCACTGTTGCAGATGGTGATGCTGCACTGCATCATTACATTTAGCTAGTCGAATGCTCATCATTTTGCTTAATAAGATGGTTGGTGGAAGCTGGTGGAAAATGACACCACAGCTCAGTTTTTGGAAGACTCGTGAGAGATTGGTTGTAATTGCAATTCATGCCCCATCTTGCGTGTTGCTGGATGTGACATGCACACAATTTGAAATCTACATCCAGTTTGTTAACTCGCATTTTCTTTTTCCAACAGCAATCTGCTCTTGGAAGCCTTGCTGTAGGGCGTGAGTTGTCCTTTATTTTGTCGCCTTGCCTGTTAGCGTGCTTTTTTTTTTTTTTTGGGTTGCATGCAGGTTACATGCAGAGGTCATAATGAGAAACAATGACAACTGTAATGTTTTTCATTGGAGGACTGAGCTACAGTTCCTCTTCCCTCTTGTCCTGAGTCAAAGCCGAGCTGTGTAATCCAATCTGACAGAGTTTCCTGCGGCATATTGTGCCCCCAAACTTAAAAGACGCCAGTCAAATCCACCCGACCCCCTGTCCCTGATATTACTACAGACACCCCCAGCAGTCATCCCCACTAGGATACAGCATTAAACAAGGGGTTTTTCTGAAGATTATGCAATTATAATGAAATGATAGCAGATTACCCTTTCTCTAAGCCTTCATGCCTTTATTGATGTAAAGGGCCAGTACAGCAGAAATTAGTAAACTTTATGAAAAAGGACTGTGAAAAGAGTGTACACAAATGGTTTTAAACCTCAGGGTGTTAAATAAAGACTAACTAACTGGTTCTGTAGAAAATAAAATCATATGGCCTAAGGCCATAGAGCTGGAACTGTGACAGTTAGGGATTTTCAAAGCGAAATAAAGCGAGTAAAGGAAAATCTCCACTACTCACAGGAGTCAGTCCCTCATGAAATGCTATAAAAATCCCAAAGTGCATGCCAATCTGTCAAAACAACTTTTATTATAGTATAAAATGCAGTAAATGTAGCTTTTTGATCCAGAAACCCATATGATGACATATAAAAGAAGAACATATGAAGCATTGCTATATATTTTAGTGAAAAATAAGTGAAATAAATTACAAATATACCTTCAATTCACAGTATGTTACCTGTGACAAGTTTGGGATGCCAGTTAATTAAACATTTAAATCAAATTATTCGGGCTTTTCAACAATTAATTAATATAATGAATATAGATTGATTGTATATAATAAATATTTGCTGTGAAAAGTTTTTGAATATAATTCATTATTGTACTGATTAGACATTAGGAACTTTATTACTCATTAAGTCTTTTATTCTCTACAGTCCACAAACTGTTTTGAATTGTTGATTTTTGCACACATTGCATTGTGTGTCTTGGATGCGACTTTTTTAAGACCAGAGCTGAGCAGATTACTTACAAATTGTAATCCATTACTACTGATTCCAAATTACTTTTAGATTACATTTGACCTAACTCATCTATCACTCGTCTATTATCTAGGATAATCTTGTACCATATTTATATAAAAATGGAAAGAAAAAGAAAATATGTTCCATTTGTTATTATTAACAACATGAAGTGCATTAAACTTTACATTACGTCAAGGTTTCCCAAACACAAACTGCAAGGGTTTGTGAGTTCAATAAGAAAGCTAATAATTAATTAAATCATAAAAATGTAAAATTAAAATAAATAATTATAAAATAACATAAATCAAAAAAAAAAAAAAAAGATTTTATTTGTTTATCAGCATGTCATGTAACCTTTAACCAATGTCAGATAGCGCATGCACATATGATACTTAATTATTAACTTATTACCTTAAAATCTCATGGGGTTCTTCAAGTAAATATATTAAGAGAAAGAAGTTCAGCTGACAAAAAAAGTTTGGGAATTAGGAAAAAAGAGGACTTGGGGAGAATCATTAAATTATGAATAATAGTCAAGTCAAGTCAAGTCACCTTTATTTATATAGCGCTTTTAACAATACAGATTGTGTCAAAGCAACTGAACAGCATTAATTAGGAAAATAGTGTGTCAATAATGCAAAATGACAATAGTAAACACTAATTTTCCAGTTAAAGACAGTTCATCATTGAATTCAGTGATGTCTTCATTCAGCTCAGTTCATAGTATCATAGTATCTAATAATAATAGTAACTGTAGATTGATTATGAGTAAAACGTAATTTAATCTAATTACAAGTACTTAATTTTTGGAATCTTATTACGTAATCCAGATTACATATAATCATTTACTACCCAGCACTTTTTAAGATGTGTAAATTTAAAGTAGTTCAACTTTGAAAAACACATCTCGAGACCACTGCTGTTTATTCCATTTGGTTGCACTCCATCTGCTTTTGAATGCAAGGATATTTCCTGCAAGATGGCATCACACAGTAATTGATATATGCATAAACCTCATATGTAAATGGCTGCATTTCTGGTAATCAAAATGAAAGGTCCTCTGAGAAGTCATTGCGAATTATTCTGTCAGATTCAACCCTACGCAGGGCCTCAGAAGATGTCATTTTGCCTGTATATGTGGGTGGAATGCTATGTGCTAGTGAAAGTGGCTAACAGTATTTAGGTTGGCTTCTAGCTCCTATTAATAGTCAAGAGAAAGTAGCTTTTGAGGTCAACAAATTCCAGCCCCCTGATTTCTCTGATGTTGCAGGTTTCTGTTTGTTTCTTCGCTATCACGAATAATAATGCATAATTTAGTCCGCATCAAGCTTCAGAACAAAAGCAGTTGCTACTCTCTTTAAATGTGCAATGAATATTTTGTACAGAGTTAACAGTTGGGGGTTTCTAACTGCCTGCTTTCTTGTTTTATTCTTCCATCGAAGCGTTGCTCCCATCTGTCATTCATACTCAAAACATCATTGCATTGATTTTCTGCACATTTTAACTCCAGTCTCCCAGGGCTTTTGTTTGCAGTGCTTTAATATTTTAGTCGCCATCAGCCCGTCACATTGAAAACATCTCAGTTGTTAACTTTCTCTTTGATCCAACAACATTTCACCAGTATTTTTCCCCACAGTCGAGGTGATCACTTCAACAGAGGTGTAATCTCTCAGATCTGTCTATAAAGGCAGCGCATCTGTCATATTTGACTCAGAATGTCTTATTTTAATTATTTCTGTAATTACTTTCCCCCACAGATTATACGTCTCACATTCAAGGGAGAAATCATTCCATTCACAAGCAATTGGATGAGAGTCATACTTGCCCTTGGCAACTAAAGATGACGTTACTATGGAAACGACTTGTGGTGCTATCAATCATTGGCTGCCTCGCAGGTAAATTATTGTCCTGCTGTTTTTCAAACTGATTTTTTTTTTCATTCTGTTTTTATTTTGGGATGAATGTATATGTAATGGACTGTCGTAAAAGCAAGAATTTCATTATGATCTTAAGCCTTGGATTCATTCAGTCCTTGGAGGAGGTTTCAGACAAGACGCTGAAGTCGGATAAGTTTATACGTGCATTCATGTCGAATATATTGTTGTTTTGAATACCATTGAACTTAATGTTCAGAAAAGAAATAACAATATGATATTGAGAAAGTAATGCCTTTTTGGGCTTAGTTTCATGTGAAAAAAAAATGTAAATGAAATAAATAAAATAACCCTAATGTTGAACCCCGAGTTATTTTTCTTTATATATATACAGTGGGTACGGAAAGTATTCAGACCCCCTTAAATTTTTCACTCTTTGTTATATTGCAGCCATTTGCTAAAATCATTTAAGTTAATTTTTTTCATTTTTCAGTTTTTCTTTTTTAATAAATCTGCAAAGATGTCAACAATTCTGTGTTTTTCTGTCAATATGGGGTGCTGTGTGTACATTAATGAGGAAAAAAAAATTAACTTAAATGATTTTAGCAAATGGCTGCAATATAACAAAGAGTGAAAAATTTAAGGGGGTCTGAATACTTTCCGTACCCACTGTATATATATATATATATACAGTGCCATTCAAAAGTTTCAAGAGTCATAGATTTTTTTATGTCCTTGAAAGCCTCTTCAAAATTATTGTGGGAAAGCTCATCAGTGCTGTATTTATTTGATCAATATACAGTAAAAAAAACACACAAGAAAAAAAACACAACTTAAGTTAATGTATTTTAAAATGTAATTTATTCCTGTGATGGAATTTTCAGAAGATCCTTCAGAAATAATTCTGATTTGGTGCTTAAGTAACATTTCTTATTAATATCAATGTTGAAAACTGATGTGCTGCTTTATATTTTGTGGAAACCATGATAAGTTGTTTTCTTTTATGAATAGAAACATAAATGTAATTGCTGTTATCAATGTATTGTTACCTTGCTGAATAAAAATATAGATTTCTTGCAAAAAGCAAAAACTGACCTCAAACTTTTGAATGGTAGTGTACATATAAGTGTCTCCTCAAAACATCGGATGAGAAAATAATCGATATTACAAACATAAATCGCAAATATTACTAAATATGGCATTAAAGGTATAAAAGTCACTCGTTTTTATAAAGTAACGCTGTCAAACAGCGACACCCGCAGGTAAAGTTCCAGCGGAGGCTTGCCTCCCTTCGGTCCATAGACTTTCTACAGAGACCCTAAAGCGTGCCGTGACTTTTCTGGAGGCTCGTTGAGATGAATGGGGGAAAGTCACATGAGAGGAGGCAATGCCTCCGTCGCGCTATAATTGGATATGATCGGTTTTGATTTAATGTGATTGGTTCGTGTGATAAATCCTGCCTCTTGATTTCGTGCGAGCTCTCGGCCTGAATGAAGAAAATGATGGCGTTATTGACTAATTAATTATAAAGTAAGTAAACAGCTCTCCCGCTTAGATACCACTACTTTGTGTCATGTCAAAATAAAACTTGAAATGGTCTGAAAATGTGATGACTGTGTCAGTTTTTAGTGAGCATTCAGCATGATGAAATGAAAGATATATCTTCTGTTTATTCTTAGTTCATGTTAACTAAAGTAGTTAACTAATGTTAACTAATGAGACCTTATTGTAAACTGTTTCCAGAATAGTGTTCAAATTGTTACTGCCTTTAGTTATTATTTTGGAATAAATATAAAAATGCATAAAACACTATGAAATGTATAATTAGTATTAAAAATATTAAATAAAATACAAAATAATATTAATAAAATACAAAATATAATTATTTTTGTTCTCTTTTTAATGTAATATTTATTTACCCAGGAAAAAGTGACAACATTAAGTGAAAAGTGTAACAGGGACACACACACGCGTACACATATATAAATAATAATAAACTGCCTCCTCATTTTAAAACACCACCGCACGCCACTGATATATATATATATATATATATATATACATTTTCTTTACCCAGTCCTTTTATATCCATTTATGTTTGGTTTCCCCAAGGCTGCAGTGGGATTGTGGCCCAATACCTGTGTTTGTCAAAGATGATTATCAGGATTCCTGGGATGGAGGCTTGTCTGTATCTCACTAGAAACCGCTGCCTCTTCCTTCCTCTCTGGATGCAGTGGATTACAAATGCAACTCAGAGGAAACTTATTTTTGTTCGTTGGTGGCAGTATTTACAACAGAAGGTTTGATTAATGAGAGAGCAGATGCTATTGTGAAGGGAAATACAGGCTAAATAATTTTCTTTTCATCTTGTATTCATGAAACTGAAACACAGAACAATTATAACCGACACATGCATCAAATATCCTATAGTTACGGTGTGTAATTTCAGAAATGATACACACAATCTTTCTTCTGTTGATATTACCACAACAGCAGCTGACACTGGAGTTTATTTTCCTGTAGTATGGCGTTTCTATGAGGGTGTATTACAAAGGTACAAAACAGATTTCAGTACTTCAATAGGTTGGTATATTAACATTATATCAGTTAATGAAATTACGGTATTTAACTGTAAATTTAAGTTAAAACCGTAAAACCTAAAATGTTGCTACCATATTTTTTATGGTAAAATTCCGGCAACCACAGCTGCCGGTTTTTTACCGTAAATTTTACAGAATTTTTTTTACAGTGTATAGTTGTATGCATCAAATGCATCAAATTCATCAAATAACCTATAACCTATAGGTGTGTAATTTCAGAAATGATACACACAAATGTTCTTCTGTTGATATTACCACAACAGCAGCTGACACTGGAGTTTATTTTCCTGTAGTATGGCGTTTCTATGAGGTTTGCAGAATTGTCTCATAAATATGGCTGCACGGTGTATCTCTGTATAATATTAATCAATAAAGAAAAAATAATGGCTGCAAGTCTCTGGAATCTATTTAGATATATTACATAAAATTCTGACAACGGGGGCATGATGTCTTCTGAAGCATGTATATATATATATATATATATATATATATATATATATATAT